ACATCATTTAGTAAAGGGGCAAAACTACGGGCAAATACAGTTGCTGAAAGCTGCTGAAAATATTCCTCTATCTTACTTTGCAGCTAGTACTTTCCCCTCATAAGGGACAAACCTCCCCCCCCCCATTATTACTGATCTAATACCAGGGACTAGCCTATATAAAACCAATTAAATAAATAATTCTACCTACTAGCTTATTCTGGCAGCCTTATCGTCTTCTTATTGGTTATAGGCACACTACTGTCCCATTAATGTAAATTGTGAATTTTATTATTTTAACTGTGAATGTATTGTGCAAATGTTTTTATTAATGTACACCGCCCTGAGCCCTGTTCCACACAGGGGAGGGCGGTTTAAAAATCTAATTTAATTAATAAAGTAAAATAAATCCTAGTAAAATAAAGGGCTTAAAATTAATAGAGCTTGTAAAATACAGGGTGCCATTAAGTCAAAATATGGCTCTAATAAAAACCCCAGATTAAAACCCACTGAGATAATCCCTAATGGGGAGTAAAATATAAAATATACACTGTTAAAATATAACAATTAAATACTGATTAAAAAAACTGATAAAATAGCTACAAAATTTAAAGTAAAATTCGACAGTTACACCTCAGACATACTGTGGCTGGGGTGAAGCTAAATAGCTAAATAGATAAAACAACTAGAATAGAACTGGGAGTATTAATGTGCTTACACCATAAAAGCACAAACCCAGAACACAACTGCCCCATAGGGGCAGTTTTATAACAAATAAAATAACAACAAATCAAACACGTAAAACAGCATAAAACAAACCACAGCCTCCCACACAACCTAGGTTAAAATAAGTTAAATAGAACAGAATACTAGAAAGAATAAGGATTAGAAAAGGGGGGGGAGAGAAGAGACAAACCTCTCTCCCTCCCAACTGCCCAATGCCTGGATAACAGATTAATTAGACTTGGCATTTTCCAAGCAGGAGGGAAAATCATTCCAGCTGACGAAGGTCAGTCACTTCAAAAGAAAAACAACTATTCTCCTAGGCTGCAACGAACTATACCACAGAGCCAGAAAAGAAAAATCCTAGTACAAACTAAGCTACAGTCTCAAAACAAATTTACTCAGAGTGGAGCTCAGCTTCTTTATCTGCTGACTCTCACTGGAACCAGAAGATGTTCTAAAGGCTGATTCCATGGGGCAGGGGAGCACAGGTGAACGCTGCCATTTTAAAGGGATTGCTTAGCTCCAGCCCAACTCCCTAGATAGGCTGTGGGCTGAGAGTCTGCTCAGGGGCTCTCCTGCAACTGCTCTGCTGGTTTCCTTAAAGCCACAGCAAGGGACAGGGGGGCTCCAGCTTACCCAGCTAGAAAAAGAAGGAAGAGCCCCAGGAGCCACAGTTGTCCTGCAGAAGCTTAGTAGTAGTAGTAGTTTTTAAAAAGCAGTTGTGGAGGAAAGGTGGAGCAAAAACACTGTGGGAATGGTAAAGGTAAAGGTTCCCTTGCTCGAAAGCCAGTCGAATCCGACTCTAGGGTTGCGGTGCTCATCTCCGTTTCAAAGCCGAAGAGCCAGCGCTGTCCGAAGACGTTTCCGTGGTCATGTGGCCAGCATGACTAAACACCAAGGCGCACGGAACGCTGTTACCTTCCCACTGAAGCGGTACCTATTTATCTACTTGCAATTTCTTGCTTTCGAACTGCTAGGTTGGCAGGAGCTGGAACTAGAGACGGGAGCTCACTCTGTCATGCGGCACCCGGGTCTCGAACTGCTGAACTACCGACCTTCCACAGTCTGCAGTTAAGCGTCTTAACCACTTGAGCCACCGTAGCTCCATGGGAATGGTACCATGTGGAAAATAATTGGAAAGTGTTTATTCTTTTATTGTAGTTAATAGACTTGTTAAGAGCTTGTTGGCCTGCTCTTGTTGATTTTATATTAAATATAGGCATTATCAAAGTTCCCATCCACAGTGTCTCTTCCACCTGTTGAAAGACTGCAAACACGGAACTCTGACACAAGCATAAGGTCTTCACAGAAAGAGGCTTCTCTCTGCATCCACAAGGACCTATAGTTTGATCTGCTTTTAATGCCAATATGCTTAAAGGTAAAGGTTTCCCTTGCTCGAAAGCTAGTTGAATCCAACTCTAGGGGGCGGTACTCATCTCCGTTTCCAAGCCGAAGAGCCAGCGCTGTCCGAAGACATTTCTGTGGTCATGTGGCCGGTATGACTAAACGCCGAGGTGCACAGAACACTGTTACCTTCCCACCAAAGCGGTACCTATTTATCGACTTGCAATTTCTTGCTTTCAAACTGCTAGGTTGGCAGGAGCTGGACTCTGCAAAAGCTATCCTGTGATGGACGTAGAGTCTTTTTTTACTGACTGCAGGGCCAAGAGCTGTTGAGAACTACCCTCTCAGACAGAATGCCACAGAAGGGATACAGCAGCCTGACCACCTGCCCCGACTGCCTGCCCCCCGCCCCCAGCCAGAAGCTTATTTCTTCCACAGAAGCAAGAGAAAGGAAACTCTGGCCCTTGGCACTAGCCAGAGCAACAAGGACTGCTGGGAAGTTCCACCAGCACCATCCCAGTTGGAACATCAGCGGGGGGGGGGGGGGGGGGGGGGACAGCCACAGAAAAATTTAAACTACATAAATTTATCCTAGATTGAGAAACAAAAAGATGGTCCCATTTTTGCCTGGCTAGTTATTTAATATTTTGTTACTGTTTTAAAAAGCAATGCTCTATTTTTCCTACAGAAGTTTAAAAAGTATGAGGATCTGTCCACATAGATTAAAAAAAACAACCCCTTTAACAATAATTATATGAAAGTCTTCCAGGCAGGCCCATAGCCAGAAAATTGGGGGAGGGGGATGAGTACAGTGGTGGTGAGCATATCATTATTTATTTACTTTGTTATGACTGAGCTACGATGTAGTACAAAATCTCTAAAGGGGTCATTCTACAAAGAAGTTTAAACGATAATCCATTTTGTTTGAAACCAAATATTCCCTTCATTTATTTACACATGATGAACAGAGGCTTGTAAATGCATGAAGATCCCCACCCCCATATTGGCCCACTTCCACTTTCCTGGGTTGCAACGTGCCAAATGGGAATCCCCTCCACCAATGTATCAGCATAAAAATGTCTGTTTCTTCCTCTGAGCATGAAATGAAGCTTGCTAACAGACATCACAGAAGAAGGTGCGTTTTCTTGGATTGATGGCCCCTTTGATTCACAACACCATTTTCCATTGAACTCCACCCCCACTTCCTGCAAAAGCCCAAAACCCTCCTCTGGTTTGGCTCTACATAACTGGCTATAGGAAGACTTAAGAATAGCTATATGCAATTCTGGAATGCAATATGGTTGCCAACCTCCAGGTCAGGCCTGAAGATCTCCCAGAATTACAAGTGATCACCAGACTACAGAGATCACTTCTCCTGGAGAAAATGACTACTTCAGATAACAGACTCTATGGTATTATACCTGATTAATGTCCCTCCGCCACCTTCCCCAGGCTTCATCCCGCAAATCTCCAGGAATTTCCCAACATGGATTTGGAACCCTAGTGAGTAAGTGCACATGTTTCTTTCGCAGCTACAGCTTGCCAAGCATACAGGGGAAGGGTGGCTTTTTTGCTAGGGAAAAACAGGGGGGGGGGGGGGGGGGATGGAGGTGACAGCAGAGAACTAGCTTTGTCCTAAAGGGATTTCTATGCCTTTACATAACATACCAAGTCAGAGCCTTGGCTCACCGAAATGAATATCACCTGCATTAGCAGGGAGTGGTTGTCAAGCAGAGAAAGGCCCAGATACTTGGGCTCAGAAGTTGCCATAAACTGATGAGTCACATCTTTGGTCTAGCTAGCTTAATATTTCCTCCTCTGGCTGGCAGCGGCTCTCTGAGGTATCAGGCAAAGGGTCAAACGCCTTTCCTGACATCAGCTTATCTGAAGTCCTTCCATGGGAAATAAGAGGGGCTGAACCTGGGACCGTCTGCATACAAAGCAGGTGTTCTACCACAGAGCCACAGCTCTGTGCTCTCTCAGAAATTCCTCTACTGCAACTGGAAAGGCAACCTAGAAAGAGTCTAAATAAATAAAGTCAGTGGCCCCTGGGGCTGCAGACACAAAGGAGAAGACACTCCGGCTCCCATCACCAGTGAGAGGCACAAGGACTCCTGGAAATTTGTGCCACCTCTGTCCCAGCTAAAATTCTCCTCTGCCTCCATTCTGACGGTGATCTCCCTCTTTCACCTCTTTCCTCCAGTCACCTTTCCTCGGTTCCCTTGTAAGTCTAGCTTTTTACACTTTATAACTGAGGACGGGGCTGATATTTTTTCTACACAACAAACAGTTAATGTAGATTGTCTTGAAATAATAATAATTTGCTTATTTATCAGCATATCTCTGAAGTTTGGTGACCCAATTTCAGGATCAGGATGGGCTGCATCCTTCAGTTGTTCTCACAATGAGGCGGATATAAAATTTCAGGACAAAGGGAAATACTTCTTTGCTCACAGAGCAATTAAATGGTGCCATTTACTGCAAGTGGATGTAGTTATGGCCCCTGGCACAGATGATGTTAAAAAGGGTTTAGACAGATCCATGGAGGATAGGTTCCTCACTGGCTACCAGCCATAATGGCAAAAAGAGCTTCCATGATCAGAGGTAGTAAACCTCTGAAACCCAGTGCAGGTAGGCAACATCAGGGAAAGGTCTTGACCTCTATGCCCTGTTTGCCGGCCTTCCAGAGCAACTGGTTGGCCACTGTGTGAAACAGGATGTTGGACTAGATGGACTACTGGTCTGATCCAGCAGCACATCTGTTGGGGAAATTCTGGAGCTGAGAGCAGCTGACCTCTCCTGGTAAAAAACCCAGAAGGCTCCTTAGTGCTCATAGCCACCCAAGATCCTACTTACAAGGTCAACCTCAGGATCAATGTGTTCATGAGTCAGAGGCACACCGTATTCCTGGTCCACGCTTCTGAGCTGCCAGTCACCTGGGGATTACTCACCTGTTTGTACAAAGTCTTCTGAGAGCAATCACTAAGTGTCACTGATAAGTTAGGGAAAGGCAACACAGAGAAAGGACGGCCAACCTTCAGCCTCTTAGTCTTTCGCAGCTGCTGGTACTCTTGCAGGCTAGTCTGGAACCTAAAGCTGAACAGACCTGCTTTGGGTCTCCTTAAAGAAGACAAAGGGATCTGGAACCAGCGGATGTCCCTCCAGGTGCTAAACAGCTCCGTGCTGTATGATACCTTCTTTGGCTTGGGAACTAAACTGACACTGCCGTTTTCATTGCAAGACAGATTCTGGCCTGCCGGCTCCACAGCATCCCTGGATGTCCCAGGTTGTTCACAGGGTGGAGCAGATCCCTCAGAATTTTGCTTTCCTGTCTCCTTCATGGGCATCTCTGATGGCTCCTCCAGTGGGATCCGGGGCACAGGAGAGGCTCAAGCTGTTTGTTGAAAGTTGAGTGGAAATGGTAGGAGAGTATGGAACACACACACACACACGCACGGTAACAGGATGGTACTTTTGGCCTTGACTGCTCTTAAGAGGAATTAGGAGTTCACCAACTAGCAAAAGCAACCCTGTCCTCTTCTGGAGCACTTAGGATGCCCTGCAGAAGATCACCAGATACCTGGAAAGAAAGAAGAGGAGGGACAAATAGCAGCTCTCTCATTGCAAAGAGTCTGTCTTCACCCATCACCTGTCAAGTGCTTTCAACTATCAAGTTGTGTTTTAGAGCTGGATTTATGCACAGACTAAATAAACTACAGTTTGGGGACCCAGATTACAAGGTGCCTCTAATTTTTTTTTTTAAATCTACAAATTACCATTTGGGGGTAATGTTATTGGGCCATCTTACACTTAATATAACTTAGGGCTTCAGCATGTCTCATTGTGGCGTAGATCAATTTTTTAAAAAAATTATAAAAACAATTTCACACTAGCTCTACTGATTTATTTTAACAGTTAAGGAACTGCCTTTGAACCAGAGAGGCGTGGGTTCAAATTCTCATTCAGCCATGAGATTTACAGGGTGGCCATAGGCTGGTCATTGTCTCAGATTAACCTACCTCATAGGGCTGTTATGAGGATAGAGGGGAGCAAATCTCATGAACGTTTAGAGGAAGTGGGAAGTGCAAATGTAATTAATAAATAATAATTCTAATGATGTGCTTCAAATGCACAGTAAGCTCTAAATAAATGCCAAGGATAACTCCTACCCTGCTGATAAAAGGTATGTATCACTTTTGTCAATCTCTTTTCCGAGGTTTTCCTGGTTCAGTGAATGAACCTATTTGAACTGCATGCAGCTCACTCCAGGCTCCAGGTCTGAGCTTGCTGGGTTTAATTACCAGTATACAGGCTCCCAAGCAGAGCCGCAGTGGGCAATAAGGCTCAAAGCTCTCCATCTCATTATCGAGCCTTTCATGCAAAGGACTGCAAATAATTGTAACACAGGAGGTAACCGAGTTCTGACTAGCAATCAAAGGGACCCCATTATTGTGGGAAAGCAGAGACTGCTTACAGCTGGGAATTCTCAAATCTTGAAAGCCGGGTCTAACTGTGAGCCTGCAAGGCCTCATTATCTGCATACATAAAACTGTCAGTTTCTGATGAAAGGCTCAGAGGCTTCCCAAATGATACACCCCAAGCAGCTATACTCCAAAAGCCTGTAGCCTAACTATAATATTTATGCTGTTTAATTTAGCAGAAGTTGTTCATAGATGCCTGAGTTCAGAATCTATAATGTCACCATTTCCTCATAACACTCCCCTGCGTGGCCCTAGGACTGCAAGTCGCTCCATGAGATCACAGCAACTGAACCAATGGAAAGAAGGAATGTGATGGGTCCGAATTGTGTCTGCCTTTCTGATGTCACAAAGGACTTGCTAGCCCTAATACCAGAAGCAGATTCACAAGAGTATTAGGTCCCATGGACCTTAAAGCAAAACTGAAGTCCATAATGGATAGACTGGATAACCTGGATAGCACAATGCAGACTGCACCACTGGAAAAACAGCCACTCTCCTGCAATAAGGGACATTCTAACAGGATCTCCGATCTAAGAAGCAGGCCCTATAACAAACTCATGCACTTTGAATCCACTTTCAGTGCAGTGATAGTCTGCAAGTGGATTTATTTGCTGTTTCACAGAGTAAAATCCAGTTGGGAAGTACATTGAAAGTGGATTTAAATTGCATTATTCAGCATGCATGAAAGCACCAGTCAACACTGCCTCCATGTCTACCCAGGAAATAGTATTATGAGATCCGGTAACACCAGGATTTCATTTATCTAATGCATAGGGTTGCCAGGTCCAGGTTGGAAAATATCTGGAGATTTGGGGGGTGGAACCTAGGTTTGGGTGGGGTTTGGGAAGGGGAGAAACTTCAGCAGCATTTATTGCCATAGGGCCTGTTCTTTAAAGCAGCCATTTTTATCCACGGAAACAGACCGCTGTTGTCTGGAAATCAGTCATAATACCAGATCTCCAGGTTCCACCTGGAGGTTGGCAGCCCTGCCTACGGCAAATGCCAAGGGCAAGATCAAAATAAAAATAAAGACATTTATTCTTGTAGGACAATCAGCCACTAACTTGAAAGGCTTGGTGTTTCAACAAAGGGAGATGCCATCCAATGTGAAGCTGCTCAGACAGGCTTCAGTCAAAACAATGGTTTCTTCCCATACTAGATTAGTTTAGCTACACCAGGAAGATCGTGTTATCAACAATCACCCCAGTTGTGAACAGTTATGATGCTGCTCTGGTATACACTTGAATTTTACACAGAAATGTCTGTCTATATCTCCTACATTTCAGTAGTTTGGACTATATTTAGAATTTTTTCCCCGTTAACTCAGCATGTAACATTTTATGCACTCACACGAGCTCTGGCCTGAAAAAGCTTTTGCCACAATAAATCTGATAACCTTTAAGGTACTACAGGACTGTTGTTAATTAACTGTGGAAAGTTTAAACAGGAGACTTATAGCACCTTAAAGGCTAACATTTTTTTTCATTTCAGCATAAATGATCAAGGACTAGAGCCAGGGCTTTTTTAGGGGGAAACGCGTCAGAACTGAGTTCCCGAACCTCTTCAACAAAATTCTTTTTAAAATGTTTTAAAGTGCATGAGTTTTCAGTATACAGATGGAAAACTTCATTTTCCTCTTGAGAGTTTCAGCTTTTTCAAAAAAAGAAAAGAAAAGAAAAGCCCTGACTAGAGCATACTTTGTCAGATGCATGTTGAGACTGTGAGAGATTAGCGGTTTGGGATGTTATAAGGATGGAAAGCAAGGCTTTGTTATTATTTTAATTTCAATTTAACTGTAATGCAAATGCTCTTTCTAAATCCAGGTCTGCAAATCTGCCACAATTTTAATAGCCAGCAGAGCTGCAAAGGCAAGGACCACCCCAAAATAACAATTTTACATTGTTGCAATCCTAAAGGTGCATATTCGTAAGTGGATCACATCAACACGTTTAGGACTGCAGCCACAAGCCCTGTAAAGCCTTTGCTCTCTCTAGAAATTTTACTAAAAGAATGGCTGGGAGGAAATATTTTGACATATCAGAGAGTTAGAAAAGGGGGGGGGATTTGAAACGGATGCTGCTAGGCTAGAGCGGCACCTACACCAGCCGATCGCTACCTGCAAGAAGCTACCTCCAGCGGCGCCGACCACCAACTAACTCCCACCCGTTTCTATCTGTTTCAAAAATCAACAAGGGTAATAAACATTCCATCGCTACGGCAACCAATCGGCACCCAAGAATGTAACGTTTGTTACAGTGAACCAATCAGGAACGAGATGTTCAAAGTAATACCGGCACATTAAAGTAGGTTAGAGACAGGGAGCGAACGAGCTTGACATTTCAGATAATCCGGGGTTTCACTTTGAAGGGGCGAGTTCATAGGGAGGAAAATAATAAACGCCTGAATCGTTTCTGCATGCCTCTCTACTCTTCCTGCCGGTGCATTCATTTAAATGCACTGTCGTTATTCAGTGACAGCACGGATTAGTGGGGCATGTAGTTCTCTACAGGGGAAACGGAAATCTCGTCATGGGATTTTTTCCTGCATTGCAAATTGCAACCATAAACGGTTTACAATATGATTCTCCAAACCTATGGAGGATAGGACTGCTGGTATCTCACCCAGCGCTCATTTCTCTGAGTCTGAGATAATATTATAAATCAAGCCTCCCCTCCCCATTCATAAGAATAGACACTGAGCAACACCATTGGCCTAGCAATATCAATATTACCCTCGTTGAATAGCAGTAGCTCGCCAGAGCCTCCGGTATCTCTCTCTCACATCACTTACTACTAAAACTGCAATCTGGCCAGGTGGTAGTGGGGATGTCTATCCCTCTAACACATAGATTAACCTGCAGAAAACAGCAGTTGAAGTTTTTCATGGCATGGAGCTAAACAGAATTGCCTGCTAACTGCTGCAGATCAAACTGATATTAAAGGGGCAGTTAGAAGGACCACCTTAAAAGCTGACAAATCTGCTGATTACCAAGTACTTTTAACTGGAGATGTTGGGAACTGATCAGTTGGGAACCACTGACCCACAGACCTCATCCCTACAATTTATCATGAAAGACGATATTATGAAACCCTGGCTAGTACAGCTGCTGCCAAAAGCCTGGAGAAGAATGTCCTGTCCCTTTAATAGAGATTTAATGTATAGAAACCAGCAAGCTGAACGTTTTTCATGGCTTGGAGAGAAATTAACACAAAAAACAGCCCATTAAAACTCTATTAAAGAGACAAAACATGTCTTTCCAGGCTTGTTGGCAACTCTAAAAAAGGATGGGGGAGAAATAACAAGGAAAGGTCAGTGTAAAACAAGAACTATGTTGCTGTTTCCTGTTCGTCTGCACTGTGCACCAATGTGATGAACCTGCTCTATAGAGATCTTAAGAAGTAAACATGCACATAAAAGTTTATACCCTGAATAATAAATCTTCATTGGTCTTAAAGGTGCCACTGGACTCAAACTTTGTTCTATAGAGATCACTGTGAGGATTTTCAGACAGACGATATAATCTGGAAGAGGAATGGTTCCCAAAAGGTTTCTGGTCTGTCATTTCAGACAGAACTATTTTAGAACCGGTTCCCTACTG